CCCCCCCTGCCCCCCCCCCCTCACCCCTATGCCTGTGGAGATCTCCAACGGGCCTTTGGCTGGATCTTCTCCCCAGTGGAGCAGCTTCCTCCTGCCTTTCCCAGCCTGTCACAGCAACCAAGCTAAGCCAACCTTAGACAAGGTGGATGGGTGGGGGAAAAGACAAAAAGCCGCTGCCCTCCACCTGAAAATACTGGAATTTCATGGCAGCAGTCTTGGTGGGGACAGCATCCCCGGGCCATGGGGAAGGGGATGGGTGAGGGATGCAGAGGACCAGACAGGCTTGTACCCTCCTGCCTCCCCAGCACTGTTGCCAGCTGCATCCCTTTCCCAGCTAAACTGCGCCATCAATGGCTCTTTCTCCTCTAGATCGCTGTGGAGGTGACCAAGTCCTTCATTGAATACATCAAGAGCCAGCCGATTGTATTTGAAGTCTTCGGGCACTACCAGCAGCACCCGTTCCCTCCCCTCTGCAAAGACGTCCTGAGGTGGGCGCACTCTGGGCCACTCCCAGCCCCTGGGTGTCACAGGGCCACCCAGTGCAGCTGGCATCCTGGGCACCCAGAGAAAGGGGGGTGCAGGTGGTGGGAGGGGGTGGCCCTGGGGTGTAGATGGGATTGGCTGGATTCGGGGAGTCCCTGTGGATGATTTAACTGAGTTAGTTCTCTCTGCAGTCCGCTGAGGCCATCGCGGCGCCACTTCCCCCGTGTGATGCCACTCTCCAAACCAGGTAGGGGAAGCGACCTCCTGATCCTCTGCCTGCCTGTGGCCCCTGTGCTGGGTGCAGGGTCCCCTTCTCCAGGGGGACCACTTAGGACCCCAGGGGTACCACCAAACGTGTTGCAGGCCAGAGCACCTGTAAGCCTTTGGCATCTGGTACCCAGCTGATGCAAAGCCCCCTTCTTGCCTCCTGTGGAGCGGCAGGGAGGAGGCTGCCCACCCTGGCTGGCTCAGATAGCCACCCAGCCCCTCCATCCCACAGGGGCTGCAGGGTCACCGCTGTGCTCTGGCCACCGAGACCCAAGTTGTTGGTGTTTGGCTGAGCACCGTGGTTTGCTGTGCAGTCCCTGCGCCAGCACTGGGGAACCCTCCCTCCAGTGGTCCCCAAGTGGCTGTCCCCGAGTGGTTCCTGGAGCAGTGTTGCATGTTTTGGGATGTGTGTGTGCCGGGGCTGCGGGATCAGGGTGTGCATCTCTGAGATCATCTGCTGAGAAGGACTTGGGGGTACTGGTGGATGAAAAGCTGGCCATGAGCTGGCAACGTGCTCTGGCAGCCCAGAAAGCCACCCGCACCCTGGGCTGCATCCCCAGCAGCGTGGCCAGCAGGGTGAGGGAGGGGATTGTGCCCCTCTGCTGCGCTCTGGGGAGACCCCCCTGCAGTGCTGCCTCCAGCTCAGGGGTCCCAACAGCAGAAGGACATGGACCTGTTGGAGTGGGGCCAGAGGAGGCCATGGAGATGCTGCGAGGGCTGGAGCCCCTCTGCTGGGAGGACAGGCTGAGAGAGTTGGGGGGGTTCAGCCTGGAGAAGAGAAGGCTCTGGGGAGACCTTAGAGCCCCTTCCAGTCCCTAAAGGGGCTACAGGAAATCTGGGGACAAACTTTTTAGCAGGGCCTGTTGCAATAGGACAAGGGGTAATACCTTTAAACTGAAAGAGGGGAGATTCTACTAGATATAAGGAAGAAATTTTTTTGATGAGGGTGGTGAGACACTGGCCCAGGTTGCCCAGAGAGGTCGTCAATGCTCCATCCCTGGAAACATTCAAGGTCAGGTTGGACGGGGCTCTGAGCAACCTGATCTAGTTAAAGATGTCCCTGCTCATGGCAGGGGGGGTTGGATTGGATGGCTTGTAAACGTCCCTTCCCACCCAAACTATTCTATGATTCTGTGATCTTGGGGATGGGTGAGGCTGGCCACATCCTGACACCCTTGCTGCTCCACATTCGGCATGGGAGAAGGCAGGCCGGTGGTCAGCGAGGTCTCTGGGGTGGGGCTGTCCCCCTCTGTGCACTCCCTCCTGCCTTGCTATCACCTTGGTGTGTCTACCTGTGGTCCCTGCCAGCTCTGCCCTTACCGTCAGGGGCAAGCTTACCCTTTAAGCTGTCTTTCTGACCTGCCACAGTGCCTGCCACAAAGCTGAGCACCATGACTCGGCCCAGTGCCGGCCCCTGCCAGTGCAAGTACGACCTGATGGTCTTCTTCGAGATCTGTGAGCTGGAGGCCAATGGCGAGTAAGTTCTACTGGAAAGGGGAGCGGGAAGGAGAGGGAAGCAGCACAGTGATTTGCCCAGTGCTTGGCACCTCTGGGTAGGCTGACGGGACTGTGTGTCACGCCGTGGTCCTCTCTTCTAGCTACATCCCTGCAGTCGTGGACCATCGCGGAGGCATGCCGTGCCATGGGACCTTCCTCCTCCACCAGGTACTCACTCCCCAAGATACCGTCCCGGCTCTGGCTCCTGCCGGGAGCTGTGTTAACTGCTGCCCCTTCTCTCTTGGCCTTGTGGGTCTCAGGGCATCCAGAGGAGAATCACTGTAACCTTGGTGCACGAAACGGGCAGCCTCATCCGCTGGAAGGAAGTGCGGGAGCTGGTTGTGGGTAAGCTGAGCCAGCTTGGGAGGGCTGTGAGCACCCCCCAGCCTGCTGAGCTCCTGAGCTCCTCTCAGGCTGTTTCTTGCCCACATTCCCACGCAGAGCTTTACGCCTCCCACCCTGCCATAGCAAAGTGGCGGCTGCCCAGCAGGTGACACTGGGGCACTGCATGGGCAGTATGCCTTGGTCCTGGCCACTGGCATACAGAAGCTGGACCAGAACGTCTGGCACTGAGTGGCCAAGCACTGGGCAGCTGCTGCCTGTGACAAGGGGACTGCTGGGGGCTTCATGAAGCCGGGCTGCCCCCTGCCCCTTGCGGGGACCCTCACAGGGCCACCGCCTGTCACCTGAGTGGCATCCCTGTGCTGCACTTGCAGGTCGGATCCGGAACACCCCAGAAGCAGATGAGTCTCTCATTGACCCCAACATCCTGTCCTTGAACATCCTCTCCTCTGGGTACATCCACCCTTCCCAGGATGACCGGTGCGTGCCTCTTCTTCTCTTGCTCTTCCCCCACTGCAGTAAGGGCTGGGGGGGACAGGATGTGGGGAGCCCCTCTCTCCCCTCGGGGGGGCTCTTAGCTCCTCTGCAGTGTCCTGACCTGTTGCTGCTTCGGGGCAGGGGACTTTTCTGGACCTGCAGAGGGTATTGGGGTGCAGGGCCACCAGTCCCCTTCCTCCTCCTCCCCGAGGCCTCTCCACGCCGGGCTTTGGCACTACAGGGTGGGGGTCCTGCTCTCCGGTGGTGGCTGTGACCTCCTGGCACAGACAGCTGGTTGGTGCCAGTGCCAGGAGGATGTACCGACCCTGTGGCTGGAGGAGACCTGCCACGAAGGGCTATTTGTCCTATGTCCCAGCAAACTCGCTGGAAAGACCACTTGGTGCCCATGGCTGGTCACTATCTGTGTGGGTGTGGTGCAGGAAAGCTGTCCCCATTGCTGCTGGGTAACTTTGGCGATGCCTGCCCCTTCACACCTGTCCCAGGGTGCCTGCAGGTTTGGCAGGGGTGTGGGAGCAGTGGGGCTGGAGGTTTTTTATCTCTGGGATCTCCCTGGCTGGATCCCTGCGGTGGCAAGGGAGAGTGGTGGATGCGGAGGGCTGAGCTCTCCTCTGCACCAGGGCTGCTGGCGAAACTCAGAGGGCTGGTGGGGGGGTCCCTGGCCAGAATGTGTGCGTGCGGGCAGCCGCGACAAGATGGTGATGGTCGCGCCGGCGGGAGCAGTGGAGCTGGTCCTGGGCTGTATGCGTGGCGGTTGCCGGTGTAGGAGCATCCCAGTGGGGAACGGGGACCACTCTTCCCCTCGTTTTCTTCAGGGTCACTGCTGCCCCAACGTGGCCTGTCCAAAGGCAGGGTGTTTTCGGGTGGAATGATGGGGGTCTGGACAGGAGGTGCCACCCTGCGGTGCTCCCAGGGCAGCTCCTGGGCACGGTGGAGCAATAGGTACCTGGGCAGCAGAGCTGAACCACGGGGTCGGGTGTGTGTGCCAATGTCGGACCAGGAGACTTTGGGGACAACAGAGCAAGACCAGGTGGGGACAGCTGGGCGAGGAGTTCTTGGCCTGGCAGAGCTGTGGTGACTTTTGCTGGGCTGCTGGGAGCTGGGTGGCTGTGGCACCCATGGGTTCCTGGGGCTGCATCGTTTCATGCCAGCTCCTAATCTGGCTGATTGGTCCTGGGTGCAGCCATATTGGATCTTCAGCATCTCTAGCGTAGCCTGGCAGGGGGGACGTGCCTCCTGCTCCTGCCTTCCCCTGACAGGTCCTGCAGGGCAAGGGGACACAGATTGGGCTGGGGGGGGTGCTCAGGGCATGGAGAGAAGTGGGGAGATGGGGGCTTGGGTTTTGTAAAAGCCCACCTCACCTACGCACTCTGAAGGTCTGCGCCTCAGGGCCAGCCGTGAATCAGGGCTGCGGGCCAGCGTGCTCGCCGTATCCATCCTGTATCCATCCTGTAGAGCCTGCCCAGGGCCGGGCAGGGGGAGGAGAGGGCAGCTGGCTCCCTGTGGGACACCGAGGTGTGCTCACCGCAGCCCCCACCCCGCTTCCATCCCGCATGCAAGTGCACACGCTTCAGCCCCAGCAGCCTGCAAGGACAGGCAGAGGGTGGGCAGCGGGCAGAGCCGGGGCCCATTTCACCCTCCTCCCCGGCTGCTTGCGCTCCCTGCTTTTGCTGCCTTACGCCACACAGCCTCCATCGCCCAGAGCAGCCCTGTCTCCCCTCCCTAGCCTGCCCAGTTCCCCAGAGCCGCTCAGGAGGAGACCAGGGGAGCGGTATGGCTCCCTCCCCAGCACCCATCCGTTCCTGCCCAGGGAGGAGGCACGGGGGGCAGCGCCCAGGGTCCCCCCCTCACTTCTTTCCACTGCTGCCGCCCATCTGAGCCCACACTAACCATGTGATTGTTTTGTGTTTTCGCAGGCAGTTTCTTGATTCGGATATGCCTAGGTATTATTTGTTTCCATTGGTTTTTTTTCCACCCCACCTTCTCTTCCTTCTTTCTTTCTCCCCCCTCGCCTCAGCGCGCTCACTCTCACCGGAGGCAGCACTTGGACATCCAGTTCCCTCATCCCTCCACAGGCCCCATCCCTCTTCCCTCCCGCCCTGGCACCTCTCGCTCACTCGGTCTCTTTTGCTGTTCGTCTGGGCCGCGCTGTCGCTGGCTGCTGCTCCCTCTCGCACGCCTGCATCCCCATCGCCTGGTTTGGATTTTCTTCTTGCTTTTTGACTTCACTGCTCTCCCAATCTCTCCAGCATCTGGCGCTGAGCGTGCCGCCCCCACCATCACCTTCTGCCACAGCTCCGGCTTGGCCCCGGCACCACCTGGCGTAGTCGCAGGGCTGGTGTGGCCCACTGCGGGGGCTTCAGGGCGCTTCCAGCCCTCTCCCGGTGACAATGGCAGCAGCTGCCCACCTTGTGCATGGTGGTGCCGGAGGTGTAGGTGCAGCATACAGGCAGTGTGCATCTGTACACAGGCGTGATGGTGGGTGCGCACACCCATACCTGGCATGGACTGTTGTACCCCTGTGTAACAGCGGAAGCGGCTGTTTGGGGCTGGTGAGGGGAAGCTCCAGCTGGGGCTGCAGGGTGAGCCTGGTGTGCGGCGTGTGGGCGAGAGCCGGCAGAACTATATGTTGCTGCCAGCCTCTGGTTGGGAGCATCGCCGAAGCCCCAGAGGAGCGGGCGTCCTGCTGCCATGCCCCACAGCAGAAGAAGAGGGGAATGCATCCAGGAGACAGGGAATGGGGTCTCCTGAGTCCTGGTGGGCTCCATAGCTTTGTGCCCTGGAGGTTGGCCTCCCTACAGTGGCTAGAAGCTGGTCCTACTCAGAGATGCCCAAGGGCAGAACTGTCCCTCCAGTGGCACCCTGTCCCTCCCCAGGGTGCAGGGGGACAGATCCAGCATAGATCCAGCCTCCCACTGCAGGAGACCTGGGCTCGCAGTGGCATTGCCCGTGGGCTCTCGGCGCAGTGATGCTCTCCCTGTGGACCAGGGGACAGGCTGAGAAGTCATCTCCTGCTGGGTAGGTGGCAGTGGGACAGCTGGTCCTTCCCCTGACGGGTACCATCCTGGGGGGCTGCGCTGAGCAGGAGCTCCTTGCCCTGGGATGGCAGCGAGGGCAGAGTTAAGGGAAGGGGGAACATGAGTGTGCTCACTTCCCAGCTGCTGGACTACGAGGAAGGTGGGAGGCAGAGGGTTTTCACCCAAGCAGGTAAACCTCTATCTGCCCTTGCTGAGCTCCTTCTGGGCTCTGATTTGGGGTCCAGGTAGGCAGGAGCACCTTTGGCCAGTGGGGCCGATATGGGGTGAGTCCTCTGGAGAGGGGCTCCCCTTCCTCACGGCCCCGCTCCCGTGCCATCCCGGTACGGATGATGCTTTCTGACCTTTCATTTTTCTGTGTGTGTACGTGTGTGTGTTTGTCCTTGGGTCGCCTTCCACTTATAGCATTTCGTTCGGAAATGATACTAGGTACTTCGCGTGCACCCGCTCGGTCTGGTCCCTCCTGCTTTTCTCTTTCTCCTTTGCCTCCTCCCTTTGCTTTTTGCTCTTTCCCCCTGCCCCTGAGGCTCCTCTTCTCCTCCTCCCTGGGGAGCACTCTTTTCAAGCGACCTGTGTCTGCAAAGTGATCCTTTGCCTTGGCTCTGTCTCACGTGGGGTTTTTTTTATGTATTTCATACACCTTCTGAAAGCGTCGCTCTACCTCTTCTACCAATGTGAGGGCAATCGCAGCCAAGAGCCTCTCCCCTCTGCCTCTGGCCACCCCGGCTCTCATTAGAAGAGCCACTCAGCCGCCTGGATGTTACTTCGCGGACATGCTGAAGCTTTCTTGTTGAAATATCACTGAGCCACGGCTTCCTGAGGATGCTCAGGCGGGAGCCAGGGCTGTGGCAGCTCTGGGTGGCTTTGGGGAATGGGTGTCCCCTAACCCCAAGGCTGGCCCAGGAGGGAGCCCAGGAGTGGGGCAAGGGGTGAAATGGGGATCCCGCATCCTCTCAAACCAGAGCCACCTCCTGCTTCCCTCACCCTCAATTGCTTGACTCGATGAGGGCGGTTGCTGCTTTTGCTCTGGGTGGCTGCACCGTCCTCTTATGGGACCCTGTAGGCACCAGACGAGTGGGGTTAGGTGTCCCCTGTTCCTTTTCCCAGTCTGGGAGCCATGGAAAACACAGCAAGGGGAGCAAGGCAGCCTGGTGGGAATGGGGATGGATGGGGCTGGTGATCAGGGCAGAGCAAGAGCTGGGGAAGACAGCCTGACGGGGGAGAGCCACCAAATCATGGTCCCCAGGTCATGCTGGGGCTCAGGGCTGGCAGCCGGGGACAGCCCTGGGGAAGGGAACCTGTCTGGCAGCGGGGGGCTGCTCTCCCAGGGGCAGGCTGGCAGCAACTCCCCAGTGCTGAGCACCCTCCCTCCTTTCCCTTCTAGCCATCATCACCTGAACGGTGACAGCCGTTCCTGGCGGGGACCGGGAGGTGCTGCATGCCCTGGGCTGGATGGTGGGGATCTGGCCCAGGAGCACGGGGGGCTGGCAGCCCCCCACTCTGAGCACGGGGGTGGGGCATGCACCCTCCTTTGCCCTCCTTTGCCTTCCCAGTCTGCCCTGCCTTGCCTGCACCCCAGCTGAGCCCCTGCTCCTCCCGCAGTCCCTCCTCCCCAAAACCCTGGTCTGTCGGCCATTTCGAGGGCACCGCGTCCCCCTCCTGCCACGCCTCATCCCCCTTTGCCGTGAGCCTGCGTCCTCTGTAGTGGCTGTCCCCATCTGGCCCCCCCAGCGCGTGCATGTCCGTGTGTCTTTGCAGGCCTGCTGCAGAGCCGTGGGGGAGGGAAGGATGATGGTTTCTTCTTGCTCGCTTGCCTGGGGTGCTGAGGGAGGTGTTTTACTGGCTGTGCTATTTTTTTCGGCAGGACTTTCTACCAGTTTGAGACGGCATGGGACAGCTCCATGCACAACTCGTTGCTGCTCAACCGTGTCACCCCGTACCGGGAGAAAATCTACATCACCCTTTCTGCCTACATCGAGGCAAGGACCTTAGTTGGGGCCATTATAATGCCGACAAAGTCTGGTATTTTCCCGACTGTCGGGGTGCAGCCAGCATGAATCCCTCCTTAGCTGGCACCGATGCTAACGAGGTGCAGGATTCAACCTGGTGCTTGGGGGCCCTGTGGGACCCCAGGAGTAGAAACCACTGGGCACCAAGGTTGGGAGAGGCCTGGGCTACCAAGCTGCAGCCACCCTGATGCCTCCTCCCCACTTTGCTGCAGATGGAGAACTGCGCTCAGCCTGCTGTCATCACCAAAGACTTCTGCATGGTTTTCTACTCCCGGGACGCCAAGCTTCCTGCCTCCCGCTCCATCCGCAACCTTTTCGGCAGTGGCAGCCTGCGGGCTTCTGAGAGGTACCGGGATGGTTCTGCCTTTCTGGGGGAGGAGAGCCATCACCCAGGGATTGGAGCCCTCCTGGGGCATCCCAGCAGCCTGGGTGAAATAACCTGGCCATGGAGATGGGGCAGAGCTTGTAACGCCTTGTCTCCCTTTGCTTGCAGCAATCGTGTGACAGGAGTCTATGAGCTCAGCCTCTGCCGCGTGGCCGACGCTGGCAGCCCAGGTGGGTGACGCTTCTCTGCTTGGGTGTTCTCCGCAAGACCAGGAGGCACGGCATGGAGGTTGGGGTCGGGACCGTGCATCTGTCCCCCCAGCTCTGTGTCTGTCCCCACAGGCATGCAGAGACGGCGCCGGCGTGTCCTGGATACCTCTGTAGCCTATGTGCGGGGAGAGGAGAATCTGGCTGGCTGGCGGCCCCGCAGCGACAGCCTCATCCTCGACCATCAGTGGGAGCTGGAGAAACTCAGTCTTTTGCAAGAAGTAAGAATCTGGGCTAGAAATGGGTCAAGACGGTGCAATTGGCAGCCCAACCTCTGGCCCTGCCAGTGCTGGTGGGATTCCCCACACTGGGTGTCTCGGCTCTCCCGGTTGCGGGAGGAGGCAGGAATGGGGATGTGCCACCGGTGCTCTCCTGTGCATCACTGCTAGCCGGGACCCAGCAGACCCGAAGCTAATGAGCAGATGGGGTTAATGGGGCCTGGGAAGCACAGTCCCCGAAAGCATGCTGGCAGGGGGAAGGGGCCACCCCTGAGCCTGGCTGCCTGTGCCCAGGTGGAGAAGACAAGGCACTACTTGCTCCTGCGCGAGAAGCTGGAGACGACCCAGCGCCTGGGCCTGGAGACCCTGTCCCCCTGCTCCAGTGAGGACTCTGAGTCCCGAAGCACGTCCTGCGTCTCCTCCCCGCTCTCTGTCGACGGGCCCCCTGAGGGCCGTACCTCTCTCCCTGAGACCCCCAGTGAGCGGCAGAAGGAGCTGGCAGTGAAGGTACCATCCTGCAGCACCCCCAGCTCGTGGGGGATGAAGCCGGGAAGGGGCTCCCACAGGGCGGCAGGGGGTTGTGGCAGGAGAAACCCCAAGAGGAGCGGGAGGAGGAGGGTAGAGGAAGGTGCCTCCTGCCCCACCGTCCTCCTCCTCTCTCTGCAGTGCTTGCGCCTGCTCACGCACACCTTCAACAGGGAGTACAGCCACAGCCACGTCTGCATTAGCGCCAGCGAGAGCAAGGTACCACCACTGCCCTGGGCTCCACCAGTCTGGCGGGGGCCGGGAGGGGATGCGTGGCTGAGGGGGACTGGCTGGGCAGGGTCTAGGTGGGCACTGTGATGCCTGCTCCCTCTGCTCATCCTGGCGATCCCAGGGCTGGTGGTTCTCAGGACTGTACCACGAGAGGACCTTGCTGGCTGGAGGTGTTGCCTCTCCCAATATGAGCAGGCACCTGGTCCCTTTGCCTGTGCCCAGCTTCGAGTGCAAACTCAAGTCCACACCTCCGCTCCTCCACAGCTATCCGAAATGTCTGTGACTCTGATGAGAGACCCCTCCATGCCAGCTCTTGGGGTCACCACTCTGACCCCTTCCTCGACCTGCCCATCGCTGGTGGAAGGACGCTACAACACCATGGAGGTCAGGTAAGAAGGTGGCCGGGAGGTTCAGGTGGTGCCCCAGTGTTCCCCAAGCAGGGCAGCTGTACCACTGGGACGTGGTCCTGGTCAATGGTTGTTCCCTAGCTGTCACTGTTCCTACACCCCGGTCTCTTCTCCCTCCCCAGACCACCCCAGGTCTCCTCCAGAGCAGAGAGCCCTGACCTGGAACCTCCAGTAGAAGGAGAGCAGAAGAAGTCCCCAGCCTGCCGGCCTGAGGATGAGAAGGAGCCTCAGCGTTTGCTGGTGCCTGACATCCAGGAGATCCGGGTCAGGTAGGAGTAGCCAGGGCAGCCAGTGAGGGGAGCGCTTTGGGGTTGGGGGGGGAGATGCACCCTACCCTTGCCACCTTCTCACAGTCTGTGTCCCACCCTGATCTTGGTCCCTTCTGCAGCCCCATCGTCTCCAAAAAGGGCTACTTGCACTTCATGGAGCCCCACACCAATGGATGGGTGAAGCGCTTTGTGGTGGTCCGGCGTCCATACGTCTACATCTACAACTCGGACAAGGACGCGGTTGAGAGGGCCATACTCAACCTCTCCAAGGCCCAGGTGGAGTACAGCGAGGACCAGCAGGCCATGCTCAAGGTAGGGCAGGGGCAGCCAGCCCCACTCCGCGCACCCCCTCGGGCAAGGGACTCAGCCCTGGCTCTCCCTCGGCAGACCCCGAACACATTTGCGGTGTGCACGGAGCACCGGGGCATCCTGCTGCAGGCGAGCAGCGACAAGGACATGCACGACTGGCTCTACGCCTTCAACCCCCTCCTGGCTGGATCCATAAGGTACTGGGGGTAGCTGAGGGAAGGGGGGTGCAGGGAAGCCATAGGTGGGGTGTCCACTGACAGCCAAACGTGCTCCCTGCCCTGGTCCCAGTGCTCTCCCTGCTTCAGCCCCTCCGACCAGGCACGTGGAACGCCTTCCTGCACAGAGCTGTGCCTGCATGGGCTCTCGGCTGGCAAAATTTGGACCATATTAATCTTGATTTCATCTCCTCCCCACTTAAATGCTTCAATCCAGGGCCAGATCCCAGCTGATACAGAGGGCTTGTTGTGCTGACTTCAAAGCAACATCCATGCCTGGGGGCAGGGACATTGGCCCTTCACTGTTCTTGAGAGCATCTCACAAAGTTGTTGAGAACATCTCATGCAGTTCTGAGAGCATCTCATGCAGTTGGTCTCACATCTCATGAAGTTCTTGAGACCATCTCAAGTGGCAGGACTAGTGGAATAGGAGTAAATGTACAGAAATTTGTGTGCTCTGGTTAAAGAGACATTAATCCCATGTCCCTCCAGCTCTGGCTAGCTTCAAGTGCCAGGACACCAAACCTGGGAGACCACTCCTCTCCTTGTCTACATCTCTGACACATTTGGTCTCTTGTTTTCCAAATCAGGTCCAAGCTGTCCAGAAGGAGAACAGCCCAGATGAGAATCTAACCTGAAAACCACCCTCCACCTCATCCATCTGCCAACAGGATCAAGATAGCTGATTCTGTCTCAAGACTCCCCATGTTAACGTCTGATCTCTCACACCATCTGCTGCCCCAGCTGTCTGCTCCATGGAAGGATCTGTCTCGATTCACACCTTCACGGGGGAAACTCACTTCCGTTCGTAGCTGCAAAAGTCTGGACCCACCTGGGCAAGATTTCTTGTGCGTGGTGCCATCTTCTGCCCGTCCCCCTATGGGTGACCTTCATGTCACACCATCTATAACGCTCCAGAAAGGTCCCTGTCGGAGGGGAGGGAGCAAGGAAGGTGGTTTTGGCTAAAAGCTGGTCTTCAATCTACAGAGGTGGGAGTGCGGTAAAGCTAGGAGATGGGAGAGCAGGAGGAATTGCCTCCATGTCAAGGGAAAGTGGTAGTTTAGGTATGGGGATTTGCTAGTTTATTGATGTTTCTGCAAGAGATGGCAGGGTAAAATCAGGTGTCAGTAGTTTAAGGTGATATTTATAATTTATTTCTATTTACATCACAAAAATCCCATAAGTTGGGTCCTGGCCCCCAGACAACGCCTCCCCTGGGCAGGGGAGAGCCTTGGTGGTGGGCCAGGGTCCCAGAGATGCCTTCCCTGGGACGACCCTGGCATATGCCTGGTGGCGGTGGCGCTCTTGCCCTCGCCTCTGGCCCTTTCCCAGCCCTCTGCTTTGTCTCCTCTGCAGCTTAAGCTACTTCTCCCCTGAGTGGTGGCTGGACAGTCCACCATGTCTTCCCAAAGGAGGCAATTCCTACCTGCCCCATCTACCTCTGGAAGGGGGGAGCCAGCTGTCTTGGCATGCCACAGCACCCACATTCACATGGATGGGTCACCTCACTTCAGAGCTTGGTCTTGCTGGAAGGAAAAGAAGGGCTCTGGGGACAGCTCTGCCTGTCACCTGGTACGGGGCTCTCCTTCCCAACCAAAAGCATGCAGGCCATCGCCACTACCCCAGCCGGGGAGTCCCAAGGGCCTTGTCCAAAGGGATCCCCCCCATCTTAGGGCAGGATGCTGAGAGTCCCATCCCTGCGAAGTGTGTGGAGGTCCAGGTACCTGCTTCCAAAGCCGGATGGGAAAGTTCCCCAAGAGCCAGGGCTAGGAGCAACCATCCCAATCCACAGGATCCTTGTCGCCCTTTCCCAAAAGGGCTGTCCCGTCCCTTCTCCTCCCAGCAGGATGACAGGCTTGAAGCAGGTGGGAGAGGCAGGGGGAGGGGCTGGCATGGGGGCGTCAGGTTGGGGATGGGGCTTCTTTTATTGTTGTAGCTAGCATTTTCACACTCCTCTTCCCCCGCTGCAGAAGCAAGTGCCCACCTCCTTCCCACCCCACCTCCATTGGCACGTTAATCCAGGGGGCTTCCTGTGGTGGAGGTGGCTTCGCCGAAAAGACCTTCTCCTCCAGCCATCACTGCTTCCCACCTCCCCCAGCAGCAGCTCTCCCTCTCCTCCTCCTATCTTTCACCCATGGGGGGATGCTTTCATTCGGGGCTTCCCGAATTCTGCACAGCTCCGGGCAGGAAGGCGAGCATCTTCTTCCACGCACCTCCCGGGCACACCACCCACCCCCAGCTTTGCTGTCACGTCTTCATGGCTGAGCTTCCCTTGCACAGCACGGCTGCGCCTTGGCTCTGCCACACCTCCCCGCGTTGTCTGTGGTGTGCGTGTGCGTGTGTGTGTGTTGGACGTGGTGCTGTCTTCTCCTCATTACGCTCGTGTCGTGTGGGGCATGGACAGTTAGGGACATGGCAGGTGGGCAGAGGCTTGCAGGGACTCCCCATCGCTGCACATTAGGGGTGAAGCAGGGCCCCAGGCTGTGACATACTGGCTCCCATGCAAGGATTAGTTGGTGCCATCCCAAATGTATACGTAAGGGGCTTGGGGTGGAAACACCGGGTGCCCCAGGGAAGAGGGGAGGTTCTTCCAGGGTGGAGGCAGGACCCATGTCTGCCAGGGACCAGACACGGGTTCACTGGCCAGGGCTGGGCGGTGCTGCCCATGCCGCAGGTGAGGGGCGGCTGTGGGATGGGCGTCCTCCAGCCGGAGCCAAAACATGCCTGAGGCCAGCAAACCTGCAGAGCGATGGCTCGGCTGGGGGCTGGCCCCCTCCGAGGCC